GCAGTCTGGTAACATGTGTATGTGTGCATGCACACACACACACACACACACACACGCTGCTGCTCAGAACAAAGTAGAACAAAAATTCCAGTCTTTTCTCTGCCAGTTAGCTCACAGTGCAAGCATTGTGTTCAGTTCTTGGTGCTGTCCTTATAGAAAAAAGAGTAGAACTGGGATAATGAGAAGGCTAGAAACTTTAATTAAATATCATGCTTCTAACCCAGCAATTTCTAGGAACTTATCTGGTGGAAGTAACAAGTTAGTGAAGCAAAGATTGATGTACAAAGGTACTCATTTCACCATTGTTACAGAGAAAAATTAGTAACATTCTCAAATTCCTTAGGGATTAATTAAGTAAACTGGGCACATTTTAAAATTATTTTATACTTTTATTTTAAAACAATCACAAGCTACAGAAAAGTTGGAAGAACAGTGTAAAGAACTTGTTTTTACTACAAACAAAGACATTCTCCTACATAATCATAGCACACCCCTCCAAGTCAGTAGATTAACATCACATAGTACTACTCCCTCATCCTTAGACCTCAGCCAACGTTGGCCAATTGTCTCCATAATGTTTTATAGCAAGAGGAGCCAGTCCACCATCTCCTGGTGCGTCTGTTGTCAGGTCTCTTTAGTTTCCCTAAATCGAGAACATTTGTAAATCTTTTCTTGACTTGTGTACTGTATAAACGTCAGCACTCTTGATGCTTACAAGGCACTTGTCTTATAAAATTTGGGTTTGTTTGGTGTTTTTCATGACTACATTCGGGTTATTATGCATCTTTGGCAAGAATGTCACAGAGGTGCAGCTGGGTTCTTACTGTATTCTAGCGAGGTTGCATGTTTTCATTTTGTCCCATTACCGGTAGTGGTAACTTTGACCATTTGATTGAATGTCTTCTCAGCTTTTTTCACTGTAAATGTACACTTTTTCCCTGTGTGGCTATTAAGTATTCTGTAGGGTGGTGCTTGGAAACCATGTAAGTATTCCATTCCTCATCAAATTTTCCACTACTCATTTATCTGTGTTAGTAGGAACTCATGGATTCCCGTTTTATTCAATGGGTCACAATTTATTACCATCATCATTCTGATGTTCAAATTGTACAAAATTTAGCCAGTGGAAGTTTCTTTTTTTTTTTTTTTTTTAGCTGAGCCATCCTGCTACCTGTTGGCAGCTCAGCGGCTGCTCAGCTCGGGCTGGACTCGAACCGCTGTTGCTCAGAGCTCAAACTCTTGAGCGAGCTCTTAACCAACTGAGCCACTCGGCCGGCCCCAGTGGAAGTTTCTTTTAGCTGGTTCCCGTGCCAATTTTCTCCCCCTTTATTGTGGTAAACAAACACATAAAATTGAGCATCTGAACCATTTTTGAGTCTGCTAGGGATGTACTCGTATGCACACACACAGCTGCACGTCTGTGTTTATTTCTTTATATACGTATATGGGAAATCATGAGGTGACATCAGTATCCAGTTCCAGTCCCACGTCACAGGGTATGTGCCAGTCTTCTCCCTTTTCACATTCGTACCTCTTTTCTGAAATTGAGAAATCTGAATCCTGTTATCTTGAATTTATTCACTCTTTTGTTCAGGCCTCTGTTCTTATTTGTTCAGACCCCCGAGCCCCCACCAATGGGTGAGTGCCCTCCTCACCCCTCATTCGGCTGCTGCCTTTGCTGTCCTCCACAAGGGTGCTCTCTCAGCCCGTCCAGGCTTCCTGTCCTCTTCGGAGGCTGCCTCCCCTTGTGGGCATGCCTCCTTCTCTCTCGGGCTCCAGCAGCCTGCTTCCGGCTGTCTCCCCACGTGAGTGCCCTCAACCCTGCCAGCTTCTGACACCCTCTGCTGATGCCCTCACCCTGCCAGCTTCTGACACACCTCGTGCCGACCCAGTCTTTTGTGGGGATGCCCTCCTTACCCTCCTGGGCTCGGACCCGTCACCCCGGGCACTTCCTTCCCACCCCACTCGGGCTGTGACCACACTATTCAACCTGCTCCGCAGATACCCGCTCCCGTGCTGGGCCTCACCTTGGCTTTTGAGCCAGATTGTCCAAGAATGGAACGTATACATAAGAATTAAAAGCAAAACAAAACTGGTTAGGGTTAGGGTTAGGGTTAGGGTTAGGGTTAGGGTTAGGGTTGGTTAGGGTTAGGGTTAAGGTTAGGGTTAGGGAAAAAAAAAAGTTAAAAAAAATTTTAAAAACAAAACAAAAAAACCCTGAAGCACAGTTAAAGTCTTGGTATGATTTGGTTGGTTTTCTTACCCTAGAAAAGGATGTGTTTTATTGGCTGTTTTTCATTAGTGAAAAGCCTGGCCCTATTGGTGTCAATTCTAAGAAGTATTTAAAAAATGTATGAGAAAAGAAAGACAAATGATTAATTTAAAGGAAGCAAAGGAAGGAGGAACAGACCTGGAGAGTAAAGAAGTAGCTGTGGGGTACTGAGAAACGACTCAGCAGTGCAGTAGAAGCCACACAGCGTTATGAGGTGGCCGGTGGGAGAATGGGCCAGATGTTGACTTCCATCATTTCAGAAGATGGTACTGTGTTTTAGTGGTTGATGTTCATCTTTTTAGCCACAGGTCATCATGGAAAGGGTACATTAGTTGTAATGTAGAACAACAAAAGTCGTGTACTTCATACATTCACACAAGACCAAAGAAGACGTAATCCTTTCAAAATAAGTTTTAAGCTTTCAAAGATTAATCTTTGAAAATTAATTCATCCAGAGTGCATCGCTCTCTTATCTTTGCAGCTAAGATGCCGTTGTAATTATAAATACGTGAAAATGAAGTTGTCCTCCCTCAGCTATTCCTAATTGCATGGGGGATTTTCTGGTCACCCGCTGAGAGATGTCAGCATGCCCTTTATCCGTCCCCTTTCTCTTGCTGCCCACTTCCGGTCATTTCCTCCTCCCTCAGTTCCGACCCTGCCATCCGCGCCTCCTTGCCTTCTGCCGTCACCTGGCTCCAGCATTCATCACTTGATGTGGGTGTTTGCACAAGCGTCTGCGCCTTTGCCTGCAGTGCCTCTGTCTTACCTGGAGCGAAACTCTGCCTGTGGAAGCCACGTTCAGGGTGACAGGGAAGGGCTGTGCTGAGTTCCGCCCTGCCTGCGCGCGACCACGGGATTGTCGTCATGCCGCACTGGGGGTGCGTGAGTGCCAAATCTTCCAGATCTTCGTAAGAGAAGCTGCAGGTTCATATTTCTATGTGAAATCTGAAAAAAGCGTTTCACCTCTGTTTTAGATAATTTCCCAACAAAAAGAAGATTGACATTGCGTTTTAATATGTTAAAGACTCAGAAGTGCTGCCGTGAACAAACCTGTTTAAGATTCTGACTCCTCAGTCTGGGGTGAGAGGCCCTTTGCCGCGTGACTCCCGCCTGCCCGTCACTGATGCTGGGATGCGCTGGCCGCCTTCTCGTGTCTGGTGTTCCGTTGGAGTATTCTCTCAGCCTGGAGGGCTCCCATGTTGGTGACCTCATCCTAGCACCTCACTCGGGGCACCTTTTCCTAGCTTGCTTTTCTGCATCCATGACAGCGTGCTGGACCTCTGTCCTAAAGCTATTATCCTGTTATAGTAGTTCATGGAGTGTATCTTTTTCGTTAAACTGGGACCGTCTTGAAGATACAGACCCGTTCTCATGCTAGACCGTGGATGTGTAGTAGCCACTTCATGACAGTGAGTGAGTGACAGAGCCACTGAATGAAAGCTGACTGGAACTCAGCTGAGCTGTAGAGACAGCAGTTTTCTAACTGGCCTTCATATCCGTTCCGTGTATATTTTCTGGTGCAGGTTTCTTGGAGCGTATCTTGGAGCGTACTTGTTACTCTTTTGTTCAGACAGTCAGCACTTGTGGCTCTCCATTGCCTAAAGACTCTGTATGTGATGCGCAGGCCCTGCCGCGGTCTGGCCCCAGCTCTCCGTTAGAGATCGCCTCCCACTGTTCCTTATTGTGTGCTCTCCCCTCCAGCCAACTCTGATCACATTTTCATGGTCACGCTCCTGTGTGGCTTTGTTCAGCTGTTTACTTCTGCTTCTAGAGTCCCGTCCCAGCCCACTGAAACCCCAGCACCCTTCAAGACTTAGCTCAGAGCTGCCGCTTTGGTCGAGCCATTCCTTCACTCTTAAAATGGAAGAAATGGTGTCCTCCTGCCTGATCCTGGCACACTGTGGCTCTCTTAATTAAACATTAAAATTTATCTCATGTTATGGTATAGTTATGGGTGTAGCTTTTATGTCTTCAGCTGGCTGGGGACAGGGGGGACCTGACACTCAGTACTTTGCATATAGTAGGTATTTAATACACGTTGTTGTTTTTTAATTATGCTATTATATAAGGTGTACATTGATTCCATATTTGTAAAAAAAATAACAACATTTGAAAGTATGTAATTCAAATATATAGGAAGTAGTCCGGAAGGCTATTTACTGTACCAAGTTGTTAACAGTGGAATTGTGGCTATTTTAAAACTTCTTTTGGCTTGTCTGCATATTTATATATGGAGCTATATTGTTTTTATGGAGGAGAAAATTGCTTATAATTTAAAAAGATTGTTGAATTTAATTTCGATCTTTGAGATTTTGTTAGGTAAATGAAACATCTTCAGCCAGACAAAATAAATAGTAAAATTTGCTGCAATACTATATATCTGGCATTAAGTATGCATTCATATGCTGATGAATGCTAAAAATGCTCAGAAATAAGATAAGAATTGTAATAAGATCATTATTTAGATAAGATATTGTTAGGATAGGTTGTAATAGTGCTAAGTGATACAAACATATAATAAAATGCTTCTATGGAGTTAATGTGACTTTTGTTTTTCCTATAGGCTTGCAAATAGGCTAGTTGAGGAGAGACACAAGTAAATACTAATCTCTGTAAATGTAATATTTTATGTAACTATTAGTAGTGTTATTTCTTGTAATCCTCAGCATAAATTTGAAAAATACATAAAATCTAAATAATTTAAAAATTTTCCTTTTCTCTCTTTTAGGAATCAAGGAAGGACTGAGGTAAGATTATTTCTATTTAAATTTTATTTAAAACGAGATTATTTTACTACGCATTAGTAACAGTAAAGAGAGGGTGGTGTTTGTTTTCTGGAAAACTCCACATCAAACTAGTGTCTGATGGTCAGGAACACATAATAGTATAAACGTCACTCTTGTGTGAATGAATGGACTCCTTTCTAGTTGTTCATTCTTAGCATTTTTCTACTTTGACCTAAAGTATCCCCTCTTTCAGTGCTTACACAACTTAGTATTACTTCATTAATATTTTACATTATTTCAGTGTGGCAGAGGCGTTTGATGTGGATTTTTGAGGGCTTTTAAATGTTGACCCATTAAGTCCAGGGCATAATTTTCAGTAGAGAGATATTTAATAAATGCTTCATAATTTTCCTGTGTGGTAGGGAGACCAATACTTTACGTTTATAAATCCCTTCAATGTAAGATTTGATGTTCTTTTGGGGCAGATCTGGTATATAGTAAAAACCATTTTGAAAGAACACCTACTATGTCTTTTTATTCTAAACCTGAATATTGAGTTATCCTTGTAAACATTTAGTTGTATTTGTTAAATTTTCAAAAATAAAACAGCACTATGTACTCATATAGCAGTCATTAAGACCTAACAAAAGACATCTATCCGCTGCTTGTGGGAGTGTTTAAGCTTTCTAAGTAGCTCACTTTACCCCTTCAACTATAATCGCTTTCTTAATACTCTTAAAAAACTGACTTATTCAGCAAACCCTGTTTTCCTTCTATGTGCCGGCACTTTGCTAGGAGATATACATAAATACATATATATATATATATATATTTTTTAAAGATTTTTATTGGGGAATTGGGGGGATGGGAACAGTGCTGGGGAATTGGGGGAAGGGGAACAGACAAGTTGCTGTCGTTTTGTTCTTCAGTCTAGTTGTGGAGGACGTTGCTTCACTGGCCCAAGTTGGCACCATCATTGCGCTCTTCCAGGGTGAGGCAGATCAGTCGCCGGCTTCTGGACGGCCGCTCACTGCGGCTGCTGGCCGCTCACGCTGGCTGCTGGCTACACACGGTAGCCCATGGCAATCCACTGCCACAGGGACTGCAGCCTACGCCGTCGCCGGCGACTCACAGCAGCCCAGCTCCAGGTTCAGCTGTTGTTCAGCATCTTAGCTGTGGAGGGCAGTGTCACTGGCCCTCATATGTGGGATCCGAACCGGGGCCCTCTGGCGTCCCAAGCGAGTTCTTAACCATCGCGCCACTCGGCCGGCCCGATAAATACATATATTTTTATATTTATTTATTTAAGGATATAAATATAACAAGACATGGTCTCTTGAGCTCAGAGACCTTAGAGGGAAAAGTGCTGTTTCTATTTTGGAAATAGAATTTCTTCAGCCGTAGGTCAGAGAAAACATTTGAAAGCTGTTTGTATTTATAATGGTAAATGAGCCCCATTATTCTGACAGATGGGAATTGATTCTCTTTTTATGACTGAATATTAAAGATTGTTGGATGACATTTTTTAAATGCTTAATAAAATGACTGGAAAAGATTCACGTTTTTTAAAAATTACTTGAATTATAATCAGAATTTCTGTACAGATACTTTGAAAACAAAAGTCTATTGTAACAAGCTCTGCTTAAATTGTATGTTAGGTGTCATTTACTCTGAATGAGGATCTTGCAAATATTCATGATATTGGCGGAAAACCAGCTTCAGTCAGTGCTCCGAGAGAACATCCATTTGTCTTGCAAAGTGTTGGAGGACAAACATTAACAGTATTTACTGAGAGCTCATCGGGTAAGTGAGAATAGATTTATTTAATATTATTCCCGCACCTGTTGTATAGATTTTTCTGTCTCAACATAGTCTCGGGGGGTCATTACCAAGGCTGTTCCCACCTCTCTTACTCATATCATGCTTCTTCTGTGCTCCGAGTACTTTACTGTAATTGATGACATTTTGGCTGTTACTCAAAACGTTTAATTTCCATTTGGGGCATGAAGAAATAGAACAAAGCAGATGGGAAAGTGTGGCATCAAGCTGCCTTCTAGGATGTTGAAGAAACAGTATTCTGAGTTTTGCCAAGATAAGGTCACCCGTGACTGATTTGGTAAAGTGATATTCAGCAACTATAAGTTGCGTTTTAAAAAATACTGCGTAATATTAGGGGATATTTAGTCTGAATTTTTGCTCTCACATGCTTTCTATACTCAGAGGGCCTGTTTAATGCAGAGATCAATTTCTTCTAATTGATCTAATAGAGCTTCAAGAAGCTCTGTGTAAAATACAGTGTAAATAAGCTCTGCGTAAAAAATATTTCAATTTTTTGTGTTTGTTCTGAGATGTTTTAACAGTTCAGTAAATCAGGAGCAGGTGTTTCAGTTTGTGAATTAAGTACAGAGGAAACTTTTTTGTGGCATATGTGTATGAATATATGTTTATTTTCATTGTTTCTTAGTTTTTAACCTTCACTGGATTTAGGATATTGCTATTAAAGCATCAGCCCACCTTATTTTTGTGGAGTTAATTTCTCATATAATTTAAAAAGTTTATTGGTGGTATAAAAGAAAAGATCCATGATTTTGTTGTATCTTCATTAAACATTACAAAGAAAGCTGTACAAATTACAGTGTGTTAACATCATTGTTTAAAAAAAGGAATCTGCTCACATAAATTTTTTGTGGTATCTTGGATTACCATTAGCTGCACAAGCTGAACTAAAAAAATTATTCTCTTTCTTTTTTTCCCCCTTGGACATAGAATCTAAAATATGGTAAATTGCATCTTTTCTGTCATGTGGTTTAAGGTAAAAGATTTGTTTTATTGCATTATTCTCATGCTCTGATAATTTGTAGTGTAGTATTATGGGAGGTAGAAAATGGTAAGCATTTTCGCCTGAGAAAGATGAAACCATTCAACAAACATTTGGTGTTTACTGCATCATGGGAATCATAGTGGGTGCATCCGGGGAATCTGATATTTGTCTGCGGTTGATGGGATTTAGTGGGAGCTACTGACCCTGTGAAGTTTTCCCTAATTTTGTGGTTGCCCTGGAGTGTAAGAGGTGTGGAACCAAGATGGTGAAAAGGTGACAGAGCTTGAAAAAAGTTTGAGGTAGGGGCACTTGAACTTCCTCTGTAGAAGAAGGCACCTGATTTCAGACTTTTTACATGTTATTATGTTGCTAGTTTTTCCAGAGCATAGTTTATTGCTGGTACTTACACGAAAGACAGCAATTTAGAAAGCTAGGATTTGTTATCCTCAGAAATCAGTCTTCCGTTTTTAATTGTGTACATCCTGTAGTTAGTTTGTGCTCTTTTTGAACATTTTGTGTTCACATTTGTGGTTACATTGTACTGCAAAGGGAATGTGGTATTGTAAGGATTATCTTTGCAGGAATATGGAAAAGGATTAAGATTGTCATCCTTCTTCTGGAGTTTGGACACTATGTTCTGCTTTGTAGAACTGTGATAATACAAATACAGGGCTAAGTTGCTATTAGATGTTGTATACTATAAGGGAATTGTTTTCTTCTTAATGTCATTAATCGTTTGTTTTATGTCATTGTTCATTGACTCTCTTTGTTATCTTTCTGTGTTTTAATTTCCTTATTTATGAAATGGAGATAATTTACATTTATGTATAAATATGAATACATTTAAATCACTTAGAACAACACTCAGTATATAATAAATGATCAATAACTGTTATTACTATTATTAATATTAGTTTGTTTTTTTTTTTAAAGATTTTATTGGGGAACTGGGGGAGGGGAACACTGTTGGGGAATCGGGGAAGGGGAACAGACAAGTTGCTGTCCTTTTGTTCTTCAGTCTAGTTGTGGAGGACGTCGCTTCACTGGCCCATGTTGGTATCATTGCATTCTTCCCGGATGAGGCAGATCGGTTGCCAGCCATTAGACGGCCGCTCACGGCAGCTCTCGGCTGGTTGCCAGCCACTCACGCTGGCTGCCGGCCACTCACAGTAGCTTATGGCAGCCCACTGCAGCTCCACTGCAGCCTGCTCCGTCGCCGGTGACTCACGGCAGCCCAGCTCCAGGTCGAGCTGTTGTTCACCATCTTAGCTGTAGAGGGCGCAGCGTCACTGGCCCATGTGGGAACCAAACCAGTGGCCCTGCTGCTCAGAGCTCACATTCCCAAGCCAACTCTTTTTTTTTTTCTTTCTTTATTATTATTATTTTTTAAGCTGAGCCATCCTGCCACCTATTGGCAGCTCAGCGGCTGCTCAGCTCAGGCCGAGAATCGAACCGCTGTTGCTCAGAGCTCAAACTCTTGAGCGAGCTCTTAACCAACTGAACCACTTGGCCGGCCCCTAGATCTTATTTTTAAACACTTTAGGTTTCAAGTTTATTTTTAGGCGTTTGCGTGCATTTTAGCTCTATCTGGGTATATACCATTTGATCAGATTCAGCCAATAGAGATTTTTATGTTCAGTGTCTTTTGATTGCCCAGATGACCAAGAAAAAAGCTCTAGAGTTGTTTTTAACAGTTTATTTTGTCTTCTGAGGAGCCTTATGTCTTTTGCTATTTCTCTTTATTAAGGCATCAATTCTGTGACTGGGTTCCATGGCTCTGTGACTGCCATGACATACCAAAAATGCTAGATATAGATGTATGTCCGCATGTTTTTCTATAGGACAGGACCATAGCTCTCAGTGGAGTCTCAGAGGGGACTGTGATCCCAAAAAGCTTCAGAGTCACCACACTGGTGTTAGGTTGGTTGGTCATGAACCTGCCAAAGTATAAGTAACTGAGTCATTTTACATCAAGTGGGCATGTATTTTACACTGAAATATACACGAGGCAGGCATTACCTTGAATATTTTTGTTTTCCCTCAAGCATACAACTCTACTGCTTATAAAGAGTTGCTTTTTATTTTTTGAAAAATTTTTTTTAATTAAAGTTTATTGGGGTGACAATTGTTTACAGTAAAGTTACGTAGGTTTCAGGTGTACAATTCTGTAATACATCATCTATATATCACATTGTGTGTTCACCACCCAGAGTCAGTTCTCCTTCCATCACCATATATTT